TATATATATAATCCACATTTTTATGTCTTATGCTACTGTGCTTCCATCACTGTGTATATTATATATGTGTAATGTGGAAAGACATCAACATAGTTGGCCAATAAAACTGAGTCTGATTCTGGTTTAATGGTTGTTGGTGAGAAACTGAAGGTGTGCTCTACCGCCACCTGCTGGTGTGGAGTGGTTCAGTTTCATTTCCATTGTGTTCTACTGTAAAAAATTCTGTTAAATAATTTGCTTCCTCAAACATCTTATGATAATTTATATGTTTGCTCCACTAGTTCCTTTGCAGTGAGTCTRTCATGTTCAACTTTTCTTTTAATATTTTCAAACTGTCTCATCATAAATCTTCCTTCTTCTTCATATTTCAGTCATTATAACGAGTTCTATTGTTTGATTCTGTCCTCAGTGCTCACATTTCTCTGTATCATGTTTTGTTTTGTACAAAGTGTGTAATTAAGTCGTGCAGGTCCAAACCTCAGTGGTGTTTTATTCTTCTTCAGCTCTGGTTTCTCCTACGAGCCTTTGGATCTTATTGTTCTCTCCCTCCATCTTTTCTTTCTTCAGTCTTTCTTCATGCTTCTTGTTTCTGATTTTCTTTGAACTGCACCGATGTCACTTTATGTTTTTTATCTATTTTTGCCATTTTATCTCATTTTGTGTGCTGGTATCAAAAGAAATAATCTCATCCTTTGTGTTCTGAATAATGAGTTTCTGAGTGAGCTGACTACAACCCAGGGAGMACTCGAAATCTAAAGGGAACCTAAAACACCTGGAAGGAACAGAGCAGGTGAGAGTGGGAGGGGCTGAGGAAATACAGACACCCAGAAGGCAAAWTAAATAAACACACATAAAACCCAACATTTTGGATCAAACAAGTTTGACTTTTTATCTTTTTTAAATTAAAATAATGAAGCAATAAAATCACAGGCAAACAAAAACTAACTGATGACGATTTTTGACAAATTTTGACACAGAAAATAATCTTTTGGGCATCAAATAAAACCTGTTAGTTCAGCAAAAACAACATTTCTAAAACAACCAAAAACAAATAAAACAAAAAAAAATACGACTCAGGAAAGAACTGAAGATCCACATGAAGGTTTTAAATCTGACTGAAAACAAAATTACAAAAACATCGTTTGAGATGAATGAAATCCACAGTTTGTGTAAAAATGGGGTAAAATGAGGATTTCATGGCTCTTTTTGCATCTAAACCAGAGGTTCTCAAACTGGGGTCCCTGGACCCCCAGGGGTCCACGAGACGTATCTTGGGGGTCCTCAGAAAATTTCACTAGATTGTTAATTTAGATTTTATTTTCAAAAATGCATGGAGAACAATGAACTAATAAAACAAACCTAATAAACTTCATAAAATCATATTTTCCCATGAAATGTAGCGGTTGAAATTACAATAAATTATCTTTTTAGACAGCATGGGGGTTATGAGGGGGTCCCTGGAATTTTTTCACCCTTATAAGGGGTCCCCAGGTTCAAATGGATTGAGGACCCCTGATCTAGACCAGTGTTTCCCAAAGTTGGGTTCGGGACCCAAAGTGGGGTCCCGAAACATCAAGGTGGGGTCCTGACAAGATTTTATGAATTAGTTACGTTTTTGCCTTTTAGTTGTTACAAAGGAGTGAGGTTAGTGT